TTTCCTAGCGGTATTCAGATTTACATATTTTGCTTTGTAACTTTCCTTGATTGATTACTTATAGACATTACACCTTTTACCCCAATTTTTTCCACCTTCAATTTAGCTACACCTAAAGACTGTGCTCGTCATACCCTTTATAGAAAACCGAGCGTATTACGTATTAAAATTCTCGTGCCTCAGAGTATTTGCATAAAACTTTTTCCAAAGTAAATTGAAATACCTACGCATTCCTTTATTGTTCCGTTGAACGTTGCCTTAAAAGTAGGTGGGTACACAAACTATAAAGTATGTGTACCTATAGGTAGGTATAATGGGTGCAAACCCGCCCCAGCCCTTGTGAAGGCCATGAAATACTTCCTCGGAGGGAGTTTTCTAGGCCCCAGTATTACAGGGGTACGGACAAATTTACTTTTTACGATCATATCAACGCTATCTCAACATTTTATGTGTTTGATATACAACGCATAAAGCTCTACTTGACGAAGTGTGCAAATTCATACTCGTATAGTTAATACGATTCATTTATAAAGTTTCCTTCCTCACACCTTTTGGAATTAGTCTGTGGTGTAATGGCGTCGTTACCATTTCATTAAATTAGGTGTTTCACGATATGTTGTTTACATTTTAGCAAATTCTTAAATTGGCTCAATCAAAACAAGTACCTTAACGTTTAAAGGGGTAATTTAAAAATAACATCATACATTACACTCGTTTTCCACGTGCCTAATCCCTATAGACGTATTAGGTTCACTGTTTACCCTAATTAACAGCAGTTAGTTATTAAGAGGTGAGCCCATTTCCATGTTCCGTACTCCGGGGACATTTCCACCCGCTGTGTGTTATAGTACAAATGGAAAATCCAATAATACTTTACCCAATCTCCAAGAACCTGGAACCACCATACTTATCAGGCGCGAAGTACACGTGTAAAATGATAGAAGACCCTGTAATCTTTAAAAAATAAGGAGCTTGTTCCTAAGCCGAGAAAGAAAGTACTCAGCCTCATTAAGGGTCGTCTTAAGCACACTTTTTCTTTAGATTATCATAATAAATATTATCCCTAATATAAATGGAAAACATTTTTCAGTGTTTTAATGTTATCCTTCAAATAAAATGTCTTAGTTCTTGTAATGAATATCTACAGGGAATAAAAGCTGTCTTCTAACATTTCAACTTTCTAAATATCCTGTATAATTCCTAGCGACTCTGTATAATTTAACTTTGATTTATAATATTCTCCTATGGTAATGATATCTTGCTTGATCAATACAACCAGTTATTATTTAGTACAGACTGTATCAACGTACTTAATAACTGGTTGTACATATTTGTAATTAATTATGTTGTATACTGAGCAAAGTAATCTATAAAAAAAAAACTGTGTATTACTATACACTTGATTTTGAATAATTCTTTCTGATAATGATGCTGCCGTAAATATTTTCCGTGTAATATAATCTGCTATAATCGGATTTAAAATAAAAATTAACCATTTGGAACGTTTTAAAAAGGACGAGTGCCCAATTTTTTTGAATTGCTATAGGTACCTAATTCTTTCACGGTCGGTTAAGTCAAATACAATGAGACCCGTAGGCGCCGTGTTCCCCCTGGCTCCGATGTCGAGACGTCTCACACTAATGCGTCTGCAAATCCCATACATTTGCCAATTCGAAACAACGGACAAAACAAACCTTAAAACCGTGCAGGTGCATCTGATGGATATTTTTCCAGACTACAGTAATGGCTTTCTGCCACCGTTACTATGTACAACGTAACATGATTCTGGTTTTGCTTAAATCCTCTTAATTTTTTTTGCTTTTTTGTGTCTGATATGTACATATTTTTATTTGAAGTTATTCTAGTTTCTTGGAAGATGTCGATATTACATTTAGAAAAAACTAGAAATGAATAAAGTATTTGCATTTTTTGTGCCTTCTTGGAAAATTTGAATTTGGAAGTGGTATAAAATAATAAAAATCAGAGTTTTTAACTATATTGTAAGTATAATATCCCTTACATAACTCCTGCTATTATCCATTATCCTTAAATAGAACAAAAATTCCGAGTAAATCTGAACTGCGGCTAGTTACAGCAAAGGGATTCTTTATCGAAGTACTTTTAGAAATGTAACGCGAAAAGTTTAATCAAAGTCAGATCCAGCTGGTGGGTCAAGAAATTATCCGCTTCCAGTTTTAACTTTAACGATTGGGTATTTCGTTTAAACAATCTTGAACATAAAAGCCTTAGTTTTATGAAATGGACCTAGAAAAAAAATAATGTTAGTGAAAAACCTACCAACATTCAATTACAAACATTCCACTGTCAAATATCCTGGAGGCATTGCTCAGTATCAACACGCCCGACACGACCGACACTTTTTTGTACAATATAAACCGATTCCTGAAAAACTTAAACTCTGTAGTATCAATTGAAATTAATTGTGTGTTCTAATGATTTAGAACTTAGTTACCTTTTAGTCTCTGTCTCTGAAATACTCCGAAATGACTGGACCGATTTTGACGGGACTTATTGGCAGGTATCTGGTGTACTAAGAAATAACATATGCTAGTTATATTTAAATAAACGCATGCCAAGTTGCGGGTACAGCTAGTTAGTAGTCCAGGTTTGTTGAAGTTATACTGTATAGTAGGCGTCAAAGATAACATTTTATTAGGCGATCTACGTTGAGTGCTGCACGTTGCTCTGACATTGAGATAAATGAATAGCTGAATACCAAGTCTCCCGGCTGTACCATGAATTGTGGATGTCGTGGGGAATCGGTTGAACAATTCAAATAGATAGCACTTAGAGATGACGTCGCCAGTATCAATTTGCATATGGGCGCGGCAACATACTTCTAGTTTGACGCTTAGATCATTCTTTCTATGTATAACCGTCATAATCACTATATTCGTGTTCTTGTCATTATAGTATACATGCAATTTTATTACATGTATATTATAGTACGTGTATATGTCATGTTCGTCCAGCAAGGTTAAAAAATAAAATACCAAAATGTTTCAGTTACACTTTAATGAATTTAAACAAAGTAAACTTACATGGAACATCACAATTATGCTTCGCAAAACAATGTTGATGTCATGAGATTCATTGTTAAAATATCTACCCGATTAGCAGGGTCTATTTCAATTACATAATTATAGGTACAACAATAGAACATGCCTTAATATTATGGAATAGATTCTCTACCTAACGGGAAGAAGCAATTTCCTTAAATATTAGACGTTGAACATACAGGCCTCGACTTTGTTTAGTAGATATTATTAAATGTTTTGCAATAAATCCTAACATTAATTTACGACATCAGAGACAAAACATATTTTGAAGCTGAGAAAGTGACCAATAAATATAATTATAATTGTAATAATAATATTTTAAGTCTTATCCAATAATGGTACGCTAGGTGGGACGTTGATCTAACGTTATTTTTTAAAATAATTATTAACCAAGAATATACCATGTTTGTTATTAAACTAAAATAAATTAGCATTCTGAAAGAGAATGCTCAGAACTGTAGAGAACAGTTTAGGCTCGAAATAAACTAAATGGGATGAAGATAGATCTCTTACCATTAAGGCGAACACTTACAATCGATCAATTCATACAAAAATATCATCCATTTTCTTTACACATTGACAAAAGTTGGCTAAGCATACTACTACCAAACGATGCCAATCTATTAGAATCTACATGTTTCTAAGAACTATCAAGAAGTGTGTTTTGATTTGACGGAGGGATGTAATTTGGATTAATGCCTATAATAACAGGTTTAGGCAACTTACAAAGTACAACTTTGGCTTACATAACAAAGTTATCGTCAGTTACACCTCACGTCACGTGCTCTGAGTTATATTGCTTCAAGTGTCACTACATATTCTCCTGAACTAAAGCTTACGTGTAACTAAAATAAAAGAGAAAAAACAAAATAAATTATTTGTGAATTAAACCCTATCGCTATACGCTTTAAAGTAATAATATCTCATAATTCTGGATCTTTAGACTCTTTTAACTTAAAATTAATAATAACAATTAGGAAATAAAAATACTAAAAGGTAAGAGGTACTAAACGATGTGCTTAATTAATCACTATTGCGCGTAAATAAATGAACTGTGCGTAAAACTGTTCATTGGCAAAACTCAAACATGTTGAACTAATTATATTTCATTTCAGGAAATCAATTAGACACTAATACATATAGTCCATACTGTACAAAGCCAAATCAAGCGGGAACAACAAGTTTGATAATTTAATCAATTATGTCCTAAAATTTATTAATATTAGGTAACGGAATACGTTAAAAATAAATTACTTAACTTTTACGGTGAATATAATTAACAATTACTCAAAAACATGGCTTTAGCCTTAAGCAAAAACAAATTAATCGAACGTAATTCACTACATTTTAAAGTATAGAGAACGTCTAAATATTGTTTTTGTACATTGCAACATTTAAAATATTGACGGTAACGTTTTTGTCCTTAAACGTGATTTTGTGTTTTGAAATTCATTTTAATATCACAATGATGGGTTTACTGTCCTGAGAATATCCAAGATAAATATGTATGTGTGATTTTATTACAGCTTGTCATTGGTAACAGTTCCTTACTTCACTCGGTATCATTATCCCTATCTACGATGTTTCCACTGTCATTACATATAATGACAGCCCCCTCATGCCGCTCTGCGACTTCCATATCAGTTAACTATTTACAGATATATCTATATACAGTTATGCGATTAATTTTGGCTCCTCAATTTACATATTGGAATGAAATCACATAACAGGAATGTCAAGTAAACAAAAATATTTATATTTACATAATTTGACCGAGGAAAAGGTATTTATCCGTGCCTCGCATTACAAACAACAGCATCAAGCTCAGTTGCCAAAACATACATACAATTATAAACGACCAAGCAACTGTAATTTTAATGATATTTTTCTCGCTATTTACAAATAATTCAACTGTTCTCTCTAAAGTAAAAGTATGATCGCTGGGATAAATAACGTGAATGTAATAATTTTCATTGAAGCTGATCCACTAGGGTTGCTGCCGAGTCCACCCACAACAGACTTTTTAATATCTTCTTTAGGCATCGAGCCCTTAGTCATGCCTTCGCCGCTTTCGTTAATATCATTGCTGTCCATCTGTTCAGTCTGATCTGGCTTCTTCATTGCAGCCACGTCATTTTCTTCAGGCGCCGGTGGAGCAGTCTCAGGCGGAGGAGGTGTCGTCGTCGTGGTGGTTGTAGTAGTAGTAGTCGTCGTCGTTGTTGGCACCAAAGTGTTGTTTGCAAGGAAATAAATTTCTCCATAAATAGCTTCTACTTCTAAAGTATTTTCAATACGCTGACCTCTCATTTGCCTCGATCGGGAGTCGTTATCTTTATAATAAGTGACCAATGTAGCAGTGTACTGTACGTCACGATTGGTGAGGTTACCCCTGAATGTTACATTACATGCTGTTCCAGGTTCAAGATGTTTTTCAAGTTTGTATAATAATTTGGGCCTCGACTCAGTGTATGGATTTGCCCATTGTATTTGTGGAAACAGCGTGCCGTCATCCAATTCAATGGTTGTATTTAGTCCAATGGCTATACCATGTCCATAATCCCATGATAACGTATAATTGTAACCGTATTCGATTTCTGTTGTTACGGTTGCGGCAACCTCGTCCTCGTTCTTTAGAATTCGTTCTTCAAACACTTCAGGTTCGGACTGACGTACATGTTCAGTATCTCGGTCCAATACCACGTTCTCTAACTTGTAACTTACAGGTTCAATTTCTTTTAGTATTTCACCACTGTTTTCTATTATTTCATTATTCTTATCGTCAAAAGTTATTAATTGGCCGATAACATTTTCATACGCAATTCTTCCGATGTAATGAGAAAATCCACTTGGGGCTTTCATTCTGCCAATAAAAACTGAATCCACAGAGGAATCGACGACTACTCCACCACTTGGTTTGGCGTGAAACCTAAACCAGGGTATCCAATTGATCAAAGACGCATTTTCAATATTTTCAAGCACCTCAAATAGATTATAACTCTTACTTCCGGATACAGCGCAGGACGTGTAGTCTGGTTTTAATTGTCCCAAAATCATGTCACCTTCATGACGTGCTCGGCAAAGATATATCGGACCTAGAAAAGAAAATATATGTTAGAAGTCTGTTCATACGATAATACGAATAGTGAACCGAATATTTTAGGATATTTTTGTATCATATTACCTAGGTCTGATTCAGCCCCAACGACATAGTTGTTCATGGATTCTTTCTTGAGATTGGTCCACCTCAAAGTGCTTGATGTCGTGACTTGTTTCAGCTTCGAGTTGTACAACCCAACTCCTGCTTCAGCCGACACTTGAACCGCAAGCGTGGCAGTCAGTAGCACCACCCACCATCCACTCTGACAATTTCTGTTCTTCTTCATTTTAGCACTGTAACAATGAAACGTTGAAAATAAATAAATGTTATCACAAGATCTCATTTTAATAATTATTATCAATAACCTACTTTTCTTAATCGTAAATTATGATTTCACTAAACTGACATGATGCAACATAATGAATGTAAATCCGTTATCTATTTTTGAGTGATGGATAAATCGTATTATGTTGTTATCCCGCTTGACCTGAATATTCACATAGAGCTATTTAGAAATATATTTTTCAATAAGCTACAAGATTTCTGATAAAGTCCAACATAAAAGTAACATTCCAGTCGTAAAATGAAAATTAAAACTTCACCATGAGTAAACAAAGAAAATTGAATGTGGCACGTCTTTGTTTCCCGAGCGATTGTTTTTTGATAGCTTTGCAGATCATGAGGGTGGAAAGCAACTTGCAAAGGGTATAACTAAATAATCCAGAACAAATATACAGATTATCCTGTCTGATATAAGATGTCTTTTGAATTTTCCTTTTATTGTCATCGTGGTTTCCATTAAGAATTTTGTGAGCTAACGCCGGAAATAGCGTCACATTTGGCCGACCCTCCAGTAATAAATTGCTGCAACCCCCTAATTTTATCTAGATGAACATTTCCAAGATATAAAAGCAGTCGTTTTCCTTGCTGCCTTTTATAATTGGCCGTAAACATGTTACAAACGAATTTGAACACAAATACCTGTAGCTGGAGCACAACGTATGCTAAAATTATTCGTACGTGAATATTATGCTCGAGGCTCTCGTTACGTGAATATCTAAAAAAATAAACCTGAGAGCTGGGTAAAAGGCTGTGGTGGGTTTCGATCGCCCGGAAACTCAATTTCCTTGACAAAGTTACGTTACTGAAAGCAGATCGCTCCGAGTTCAGCGATGTTGCCCCAAGCAAAGTGTTGATACGGGAAACATGGTTTTGTTTTACATCAATTTATTCAGTATTTTCTCATCTCGAAAGTTACATTGGAGATGGTAAAATAAATGCTAGATCAATATAAGATACAGTAACTTGTATGCAGTAAAATAATAACGAAGGTGATAGAATAAACGAACGGAATAGTGAAGGCGGAAAAGGATGTACTTAGACGACTGAAGTAGATGGTAGACAGTGCAGACAAAACACTGCAGGTGCAAATCTTGGAAGCGACATTGAATTTGAGTTATCTTTGTTGTAGTAAGAATTGTGTAGTAAATACCTGGAATACGTTGATTTATTCTAAAGAAGTAATAATAGAAATTCCCATTAGATCTTTTATTCTTGATTACGATTACAAATAATGGTGTTTAGGTTTTTTCGACATTTTCAATTCGTCTATATCAAGATAAAGTCGTCATTTTTGTGATTAATATCCGTCTAGTTTACATTTCTGTTGGCATACCCGACATGTTAATATGGTGATTAATTGATCCTAAATTACAAACACTTCATATAATTGTCGGTACTTAATCGCAAGGCTAACGTGTCTACTAAACGCTTTTTAATAATTACTTTGCTACAATTTTGAAATAAATAATTCTAACTGCTGTTTAGACTGATCTGTGAACGGTATTTATTTTGTTTTGATATTTTAATTTAGTATACTTTTAATTGACTCGTTAGTCTAGTATTCATAAATCGACAACTGAATATAGTAAATATCCTCAGGAATGAAAGAAGCGAACCTGTATGTTTTTAAGTATGTTTTGAACCTGTAAATTCTTTCTAACACAATATTTTTTTTTACAGGTAAGTTGATGTTATCTACTGCTTTGTACAGGTATGTCATACACAGTAACAAAATAACATAGTTCCATAAAAAAAACAAGATACTAAACCTCTTTTAGCCGAACGCCATTGCATAAGGTTTATTGCGGATTTATTATTCAAGACGGAAGGTTTATAGTTTGACATCTATTGCTGTGTACGTTTCGGTCAAACTGTAACCTCATTTTAAACATTCATAAACTCTTGCTTTTTACAAGGGTTTTAGTTTTAGATCACCGATAAATAGTAGATCCCCAGATTACGAACCAATAAATCATCGTTAGTGCTGCCACAGATAAAGTAAATTCAATTTAATAAGTTCAATTGGAGATTGACACGGACCATTCTATGTGGCACAAATCCCGACCGTTCCTTTGTCGTTTGATCAACATTTGTAATATATCGCTTTTCAAATAGGGATCTTCCTTCATAAAGTATACGTAATTAGTCACGGCAAGTTTATGTTCAAATGAAACTCGAACAAATGTTGCTTTATTTCGTATCGGCAGATGTGGAGCTATAATTAAATTCGGTCGTAGGTTACGAGACGATAACACCCACTGATCATTCTCCTTGTATCATCATTAAGCTGATTATAAAACGATTAGAAGATAGGGAAGACAATTTACAGTAGTAAATGTATACAATACGAATTTAATTAATCTACATTTCTCTTGGAAACCATTAGAATTGATAAATAATCAATCAATTGAATGGAGTTCTTCGTATTTTAATAGCTTCTCATTATCCCGGTCCGCAGAATTAACTTTGACTAGTTCGCATTCCGTCAGGCCGAGTCAATCGAGACCCTTTGTGTCGGCGCACATAGCGTGTCCAAATGCAGCTTTTGTGTGCCCGCCAATATGACACCTAACAGAATCGATTAACTGATTTCACTATAGGTATACGCCCTGTGTGGTAGCTATATAGTCTGTTATCAACATTTTATTGTTGGGATTGAGGTTAAGGTTTTGTGGATTTAAAATGAAACCGTTTAAATGTAAAACTATTCCGAGTAAATGTATGTATGTGTAACCTGATCAATTAATTAACGCCCAACTACAGTCTCCCTTCTGAAAATACTTGATAGAATGATAACGTGTACAAAGGATGTTCAGACAATTACTCAGCGGTGGCTTTAATGAGTCGATTTAAACACCCCATACGTTCCTTCCAACACAATACCTTCTGTCTGCGTGTTTTAGAGCAACTCGATGCGACGAGGGGAGACAAACTACAAACAAAACAAGGAAATCTTTCGTCTGAGTTACCTCACTTCACTGAATCGTCAACACCCCTCTAGTATTTTTTCCCTTCGTATTTTCCCGAGGATGAAAGTTTCAATTATTTTAATATTTACAATCATTTGACATTGATACAAAACGTCTGGCTTGTATTTAGCTTTCATTTTATTTTACGATCAAATAAAAATAACTCTCCTCTGTGCTTCATTGTTTTACGGACGAAAGGACGACCGTTGCTAATTATTAAAAGCAAATTAAATACGGTTGTCAACGTTATGGTAGTTACACAAATATTTTTTCCGACATGACATCATGTTAGGTAAACGCTAACTTGTATTTTGTAACAATATTGCGGGCAATAAAGTTTTATGATGTTCAGTAACGTTGGCTGTGGTGACTGCACCATACGAGGTCACATTTTATGGATAGTGGATTGTGCACCGGCAGTACCATTATGAAATTGCAAACTTGTACATCAACGTCTCTATCAATGTCAGTGTCAATATTTTGTCTGGGGGGATCCAGAACTCCACATTCATTAATGAAATGTTCTCGTCCACCGAGTATAAACTTATTAAGGAAATTGGATTCAGCTCCTATCATCGTGGATATATTTTAGTGGTATATTACCTTCTGTATTATTCATCAAATTAGAATTGAACTTTTTAACCGTTAAAGTCTTTTTCTGTGTTAAGTTCTCAATTCAAACATGATACTAAATGACCCAAAGAAAGTTCATTCAAGAAATAGCTCGATGAACCTTGTGATATATTCGATTCATTGAATTGTTTCGCTTTTATTATTATCAAAGCACTGAGTACTTGAGATGGTACTTGTTTATCTATAGTTCCGACGCTTCATTGTCCAGGCAGAGACCATTAATCTTGTCGTTAACTATAAACTCCACTTATAACTGTGTCTCATATTGCATGAGTCACGTTTTTTAAAATAGCTGTTTTACTTAAACTGTTATCATAATAACGATTGTCTTTAGCATAGATGACATCACTATAACAAATTCTATCTTAAAGTACTCTAAGTTATCTCTGTTTAACTGAAGTAACTTACTGTAAGAAGGTAAGCTCCTCGGGCAATAGCTTGCACTCTAATCGCATTACCCACATGCAATCAATAATACTAGACAGGATTACTGTCCGTTGCAACGTACTAACATTTCTTGCTAATATGATGTAATAAAAACGGCTTCGAATAAAGTTGTTTACGTGTAATAAGATTAAATTGTAGGCCTTTATATGTTTTTAAGTATAGGACGTGAAAAATGGGTAATGCTAGATCAACCAACTGGATTGTAGTTTCTTGGCAGTAGTTTCAACATTTTAATGACATGTCTGAAATATGTACTGAAGAATGTAGGACATCAATAGATCTTTTGAAATGTCACATACTTACTCGTTTATATTATCTGTTTTATGAAACACGTTTAGGGTCAACAACAGAAGCAAATAAATGTCATCGTCACTGAACCGAACGTACCTTACAGCTACCGAATAATTTTAGCTAAATATGTACCTACTTGGTTTGATATAATATTCTAATTTTATACATATTCAATATCAAAAGTGATCGTGTAAAACATGCACGCTCTAGGCACAGAGAGTCTACGTACAATTGTTATCCTGATCCGACTCCGTGGAACAGCACTAAGCTTTTAACCCAGTTGTGATGCTGCTTACAATGCAAATATTCCGTTAACGTTAGCGCAAAGGCGCCGGGTTGAGTCGGACACTGTGCTAATTTAATAGCACGCCTTACATGCATACGTTTAACTTTTCTGTATTTTTATTGTCTATTCTGATGACGTTTTGATCGTAGCAGTGTACAAAATTAAGACATGTGATGTGTGATGAAGAATTCTTCCATGATTACACTTTCATCTCTGTACCGTATCTTATAACCATTGTTTAAGAACTTTTCAATAACAATGGAACTTCAAAGAATGTTGAATGTCTTTAGTTATAATAATTTCCTTTTATAGAAAATG